GATTGCCGCACAGAGGCCCAGCCAGTGTTCCTGATTGCCGCACAGCGGCCCAGCCAGTGTCCCTGATCGCCATACAGTGGCCCAGTGTGCTTGATCACCATACAGTAGCCCAATCAGTGTCCCTGATCACCATACAGTGTCCCTGATCACCCCAACACCAGTAGATCCTGTTCACCGCCATCATCTTTGAGGAGAGAGATCCAGTACAGCCGAGTAATTTTCAGCCTTTGCACACACTCACAAAACATTGCCAGCCAGCTCACCGTATCTCTGATCTTTGCCCAATAGTGACTAGTGTGAACCAGCTGCAGCCAGATATCTGTCCCTTAGTGCAACACCATCACAATGATCACTGCCATACCAGTGGGTCCAAATCACTGCCATTCCAGTAGGTCCTGATCACAGTGTCAAAAATATGTCCAAAAGATTATACACAAGCGAGGGGGCATTTCAAATTCTGAGTATGACAGGTGAGAGTAACGGAGAACTCTCACTGTCAGACTCAGATTCTGTATATGAACCAGTACACAGCAGCGATTTACTCTCTGATTCAGAAGAAGAACGTGTTCCAACAAAAAGAGTATTAGAAATATCTCATAGATTGACAACTTTGCGTAGAAAAAAAAATACATTTTCATTTTCTTTTCACATTTTCCAAAAACTTGTGGCGAAAAATGAAGTCTTCAGAAGACTCCCCATGCCTTTTAAAATATACCTTGGGGTGTTTGCTTTCCAAAATGGGTTCATTTTGTGGGTAATTCAATTGTCCTGGTGCTCCAGGACCTCCAAAACTGTGACAGTCAAGAAATTAGATGTGTAATTTTTGCCCCAAGAATGTTGCTTATTGGATGTGGGGCCCTTCTATGTGACTAGGCTGTTAAAAAGTTTAACACATGTGGTATCGCCATACTCAGGAAGAGTAGCAGAATGTGTTTTAAGGTGTAATTGCAAGTATGCCTATGCAGTGTGAGAGAAAGAACTTGTTAAAATGACAACTTTGTGGAAAAAAAAAAAAATGATTTTCTTTCATCATTTCCCTCAAAAATTGGCGAAAAATTACAACTTAAAAAAAATCCCCATGCCTCTCATTAAATACCTCAGACTGTCTACTTTCCAAAAAGGAGTCATTTGGGGGGTATTTGTATTGTCCTGGCATTTTAGGGCCTCAAGAAATTATAAAGGTAGTTGGTACATCAGGATTGATACATTTTCAAATATATATACCATGGTCTGTGGACTTTCACACAGACTAAATAATACACACTGATTTGGGTTATTTCTACCAAAAAAAGGTAGCACAATGGATTTTGGCCTACATTTATGAAGAAAGTAAATTTATTTGCAAAATTTAGTAACAAAAACTAAGAAAAATTTCAGTCTTTTTTCATTTTTCTACCAAAAAATAAAAACCCCAGTGGTGATAAAATACCCCCAAATGAAAGCTCTATTTGTGTGAAAAAAATGATAAAAATTTCATTTGGATACAGTGTCGCATGCCTGAGTAATTGTCATTCACAATGTGAGAGCGCTGAAAGCTGAAAATTGGCCTGGACAGGAAGGAGGTGAAAGTGTCTGGACATGATGTGGTTAAGGGCGGATATGATCAACATGTACAAGGGGGCACTCTTTACGCCTGGAGGAAAAAAGATTTAATCTCCAAACAAAGAAAGGTTTCTTCACAGTGAGAGCTGTGAAAATGTGGAACAGACTCCCTCAAGAGTCGGTTCTGGCCAGCTCAGTGGATTGCTTCAAAAAAAATGCCTGGATTCTTTCCTAGATTATTATTATCATACAGGATTTATATAGCGCCAACAGTTTGCGCAGCGCTTTACAATATAAGGGAGACAGTACAATTACAATACATTTCAGTACAGAAGGAATGTGAGGGCCCTGCTCGTGGAGCTTACAATCTAAAGGAAGGGGGAGGTGATACAAAAGGTGATAGCTGCGGGGGATGATCTGGCGGAGGTGATTCAAGTACAGTTCTTAGGTGGAGGTGGGGTAGGCTTCCCTGAAGAAGTGAGTTTTCAAAGATCGCCTAAAGGCAGACAGGGTGGGGGCTGACTGGACATGCTGTGGTAGGGAGTTCCAGAGGATTGGAGAGGCTCTGGAGAAGTCCTGGAGGCGAGCGTGGGAGGAGGTGATGAGGGAGCTAGAGAGGAGGATATCATGGGAGGAGCGGAGTGGGAAATGTGGGCGGTATCTGTGGATGAGGTTGGCAATGTAGCTAGGGGCAGTGTTGTGGATGGCTTTGTAAGCTGTGGTTAGTATTTTGAATTTTATACGTTGGGATAGTGGAAGCCAGTGGAGGGATTGGCAGAGAGGGGCAGCAGTCGCTGATCGGTTGGTAAGGTGTATGAGTCTAGCAGCATCATTCATAATAGACTGAAGGGGGATAGCCTGTGTAACGGTAGACCAGTGAGGAGGGAGTTGCAGTAATCGAGGTGGGATATAACCAAGGCTGGATGAGTTGTTTTGTGGTGTCATTGGTCAGGAAGGGACGGATTTTGGAAATGTTCCGGAGGTTGAGGCGGCAGGATTTAGCCAGTGAGTGGATGTAGGGCCCAAAGGAGAGGTCAGAGTCTAGGATTACGCCTAGCACCCTGGCAAGAGGGGAAGGACCAATGGTTGTGCTGTTGATCTTAATGGTAAATTCGTGAGTGGGGGATCGGGGAGGAGGAAATATTACAAGCTCAGTTTTTGAAAGATTAGATACATAGAATATAACTGGATACTAAAATTTATAGGTAACGTTGATCCAGGGAATATCCGATTGCCTCTCGGGGGATCAGGAAGGAATTTTTTTCCCCAGCAGGAGCAAATTGGTTTTTTGCCTTCCTCTGGATCAACTGTGGGTATAGGTTTATAACTTTTTTTTTTTATGGTTGAACTGGATGGACTTGAACTGGATGGACTGGATGAGCATCTGCTCCGTGAGGACGTCGATGACGAAACGCATAGGGCGGGGCTTGATTGATGTGACGTCATTACGTTTCCCAGCGATCTACTGTGCATGTGCCGAGTGGCTGGGTTCGTTTAATTGTGATTCCTATATGCTGTTAACGCTGGTGTCGGCTGGCACACCCTTTGAGATAAGTGCAATGAGTGCATAATAAATGAGGCGGTTTTTTAATACTACTACACCATGAAGTTTTTGTTATTTCTTCAGAGTGTCTGGTATTATCCCTGTTGGATATGATTAAAGTGATCTCTTGGAGAAGTGGATTTCCTCAGTGGTATTTAATTATAGAGCATTGCTTCATTGAAATTGGTCTGCTTGGAGCTGGGTTCTGCAGAATATTACTCCCTGAAGACACATCCATGAGTGGTTCATTACTCTGCTAATACCATCGCCCCCAGAGCAATATATGCTTCAGTTTTTTATAGCTCTGGTGAGTTTATTTAGTGCTTTTGGTGGTGGATTGTCACATTTTTTGTGCACTTTTCTTTGGATTTGTACTACACATCTTAAATTTGGACTGTTTTTTGGACACTTTTTTTTACATAAAAAACATTTTTTTTAATTATGTATTTATAATTATTACTCACATGGATAATATTTTTATGTTTTCTTTGTTCACAGATATAATTGTAATATTTACTAGCGCAAATTATTTTTGCGTTATGAACTGGATGGACTTTTGTCTTTTTTCAGCAGACTAACCATGTAACTATGTGTGAACTTTTTTGTATTTCTATTTTTGAAGCCAAATTGGGATAATACCTATTTTATATCTGTTAAATGTTCCCAATAACAAAGCAAAATTTAAAAAAAAGCTGGTATTAAGTGGTTAAGCTGAGTACCTCTAAGCAGGCACATACAGCCACCTGAAACAAGTGCACATTGCTTTTGTTTAGCCGCCTCCCACCCGCCATATAAGGCAATGACAGGCACGAGGTGGTTCTCTCATTCTGGGAGGACGTCATATGACAGTTCCAGGAGCGTGCAGCGCGGCGATCGGTGGTGCGCTGTGTCCCTCAGACACAGCGGATCACCAATCAATGGAAAGAGCTGAAGATGTCGACTCGGTCATGTGATCAGTTGTGTCCAATCACAGCTGATCACATGTAAATGGGGAAATGCCGGCATTTCTCTCCACTTCAGCTGTCACTCTGACAGCTCGAGAGGAGAGCCGGTAATTGGCATTTCTTAGAAGGGATATGTACACTGATGATCAGTGTGCCCTGACGATCAGTGTAGCCCCATCAGTGCCACCTGCCAGTGCCCATCAGTGCCGCATCAATGCCACATATCAGTGCCTACCAGTGCACATCAATGCCACATATCAGTGCTCATCTGAGCAGCTTTTCAGTGTCACCTATCAGTGCCAGTCAGTGCCACCTATCAGTGCTGCCATTCAGTGCCACCTATCAGAGCCAGTCAGTGTTGTCTATTAGTGCCGCCTAACAGTGCCACCTATCAGTGCCAGTCAATGCCACCTATCAGTGCCAGTCAGTGCCGCCTATCAGTGCCATATATGAGTGCTGCCTTTCAGTGCCCAGTGATGCCTGTCAATGCCCATCAGTGCCACCTACCAGTGCCCATCACTGCAGCCTATCAGTGTGCATCATTGCAGCCTCATTAGCGCACATCAGTGAAGGAGAAAAATCACTTATTTACAAAATTTTAAATCAAAAACGAAGAAAAAACTTTTTTTTTTCTCAAAATTTTTTGTTATTTTTGGTTTGTGATTAAATACTACCAAGAGAAAGCTCTGTCTCAAAAAAATTATAACAATTTCATATGGGTACAGTGTTGAATGACCACGCAATTGTCATTCAAAGTGTGAGAGCGCTGAAAGCTGAAAATTGGCCTGGGCAGGAAGGGAGTAGAAGTGCCTGGTAGGCTACTGGTTAATAAAGCTAATCAATTCTATACCCCTAAACCTTAGTAAAGTCGGCCTGCTTGCTTCCCTATGCCAATTATAAATGACTACCAGACTCAGCTGCATCACATGGTATGAAATCTATGCATTTCTACACGCATGCATATTTTTTACCTTCATCAGGATAAGAGGAAACACCGTCAGATAACACAGGGTTAATGTCCCCAGCTTCTTGATCACTATCCAAGCTGCCTGCTTGTGAATTGTCTTTTCCACTCCATACTTTAGCGTTTGACCTTCGGGTTAAAAAGATTTAGTTCATGAAATCATAAAAATGACAAATGTAATTTTGTCCTCAGATCTAGGAGCACTCTATCAAGTAGGAATTTTGACTTACCTGTAAATTCTTTATCTTGGAGTACAGTACAGGACAGATTTGGTATTCTTAGACCAAAGGTTACTGCTGCTATCTTCAGGTTATTGGAGGGTCCTGTGTTCTATATTGTACTCCAAGACTAGGTATTTACAGGGAAGTCAAAACTGCTATTATTTTACCTTACTCTACTGGACAACGTCTGGTATTCATAGGCCATGGGATGTACCCAAGCAATAAAACTGAGGGGAGGGCAACAATAGAGCAAAAGGCCTACAAGAAAAGACAAAGGGTTTAAGAAACCCAAACAATACTTGGATAACAAAGTGAAGCACTTTGCAGCCAAAGCTAGCATCAGATGAGGCCGCAGACCTGATAGAACTTGGAAAACATCTGAAAAGGACCAGGTGGCATTCTTACATACCGTATTTTTCGCTCCATAAGATGCACTTTTTCCCCCCCAAAAAATGGGGGAAAATGTCTGTGTCTTATGGAGTGGCCGGCCCAGTATTCCACCTCCGTGTTAAAAAACGGGTCGGCCGCTCGGCTCTACTGTGAAGAAGAACCCTCTCCTCCGTCCTACCTGTTCCTCGGTCCTGCTTCCATCTGGCGTCTTCTCTCCCAGGCACCAGCATCTTCATTGTGGGCACCCAGCTGTGACAGCTTGCAGCTTCACAGCCGCGTGCCCACTGTGCATGCATGAGAAGCACTGCGTTTTGTGAATGGCCCCATAGTCTTGTGGGTCCACAGAAGACTCAATCTTGTAAACAGAGGAATCCTTCAGATTGTAAGCGAATAGAGCAGGGTCCTCCTATTCCTTCTGTATTGTAATTGTACGGTCCCTCCTTTATATTGTAATGCCCTGAACAAACTGTTACTGCTACAAAAGTCCTGAATAATAATTGTAATAGAAGAGGCTGTAGCTATCAGATAGACCCAGACAAACCTGACCACATATCCAGGCAATGTTAGGTGATTTCCTTGTCACCTTTTGGAGCAAGACACAGGGAAGGGAGGAAAATATCATCATTGAGGTCAAAGACTACCAAATTGAACAAAAATGAGGGTTTGGTCTCAAACGTGTCCTTGTATAAAAGAAAATTTTTTTACAACAGAGCTGCTAGCTCAGAAACACATCTAACTGATGTGATGGTGACCAAGAAGGCAACCTTAAAAGATAAGGATTAAAAGTGTAAATTAGCAGTACTTTTTTTTTTTTTTTAAGATATTTTTACCAATTTAATTACGCACAGCTTCAGACTATGCATGACCTAGAATTAGCAAGTATCCTTACTTTTCACAGTTTGTTCCCACCTGCTTATTGAAATTTAAACTCTGAAATTTCTTATAACACATATTCTCACTCTCATATAACATGGTGCTGGCCTTGAACTAGACCACATTCTTTTTCTGTTAATATTGTTCCTCATTTCTTCTTCTTTCTTTTGGTCCTACAATGACCTACAATCCACAATTATCTTTGAAATTAAAATTGGTGTGGTGGAGGAGAAAATATGCAGATGATACTGTCCGGTTTCAAGGCGATACCCCTTCCTCCCTACCCGCAGCATTGCGGATTAGAGACACCTTTGGCTTGCACTCTGGCATTAGGGTCAACTGGGGAAAGTCTCTCCTATTTCCGCTTCACATTTCCCACCCTTATTCACCCAACACAGGGTGGTAGCCAATGGGCGAATGAGCTTAAATCGGCAGACACTCTATATGGGGCCTCTACAATTCAAAGGCCACAGCTGGTGCGACGGTACCCTGTCAACTGCCTCTGGATTTTGGAATTTTCCTTCTAAGAAACTATAGAAATGATGTCATCTACTTTCACCTTATCACGAGTCATAAAGACACTACCCTCTCTTGGAATGTGCGATGTCTACATGACCCTAAGAAGAGGAAAGCTATTTTTACGCTTCTTAGTCATCAGGACCCTTCCATCGTCTACCTCTATGAAACTCACCTAACTGTGGACACCCTTCATCTCTTGAAAAGGTCTAAATTCCCCATTCAATACCATGCGACCCACTCTCAATATTCAAGAGGTGTGAATATTATGATCACTAGAGGAGTTCCCTTTATGGTTTTGTCCTCATGGATTGACCCGTTGGGTTGTTTCATCTTTTTACTATGTAACTGGGACTCTCATGTTTGTGTTATTGCCAACATTTATGTTCCACGACCATTTAACATGAAAATAGTAAAGTGTCTGTTTCAATTTATGGCCCTTCACCCACACACTCCAATATTGGTGGGTGACTTTAATCCTGTGTTGGATACCTCCTTAGATCTCTTCAAAAAATTATCACCTCAGAGCCCTAGACAGCCCACTTCCTTTACCCGCTATATTTTGGAAATTGGACTCCGGGAAGTATGGAGAAGTCACCATCCCCTTGAGGCCCAATTCTCATGTTACTCAAGCTCCCACTTCTCTCTGTCCCATATTGACTTCGCTCTGGGCACTGATGAAGTTCTAAGCCCCTCAGGTAACTTATCTGGGCAGGGGCTTATCTGATCACTCCCCCTTATTACTATCCTTGTCTTTAAAGAGACAACAGTTGTCCCCACTGTGGAAGCTTAATCCTTTTTGGATCCATCTTTTTACAAATGTTGACCAAATGCATAACCAGATAAGGGGCTTTTTATATGACAACAGACACTCGCCATCTCCTATGATAATGTCGGATACTTTGAAAGCCTATATCAGAGGAATGTGTATTAAGGAAATCTCCAAAATTAAAACAAACACCAGACAATGGCAGGTTGATGCCAGTCAGTGTCTAGGGCAGAACAGGCATATCTAAGCAACACAAATGCTGATACAGAAAGGGAGTGGATAGATGCGCAAAACTCTTCACACTGTTCAACATCAAAAGGCGGACAATAAAAGATTTTTTTCTGCTCAAGCCTTTTTTTCAAGGAGGGGGAAAAGAGAACATATGCTGGCTGTTCTAACCAAAGCCCAGCTACCATCTTCCCACACACCCTCTTTAAGTGTCTTCGACTCAAGTCATCACAGACACCCCCCTCCATCTCACAAGGCTTTCGCTCATTCTAGGAGTCGCTTTACTCTCCCATAGTAGCCTATAATGATTCCACGCTGCATAACTTGCTAGACCAAAATCACACTACCTAAAGCTCTCCACTGGGGATAGAAAAATGTTGAATGCACCCATCACCCTCGAGGAACTCAAAATAGCCATATCTTCTTTCCCAATTCCAAGGCACCTAGCAGTGACGGGTTACCGTAGGAACTATGAAAGACATTCTTGAGAGATATTCTTTTACCCGAACCACTGGCTGTTATACATGCAGCCTTAGAACAAGACTCGCTCCCTCCCTCATTGTATGAGGCCACAATTGTAGTATTATTGAAGCCATGGAAGGATCCTACACAGGTGGAATCATACCACCCCATTTCACTATTGACATCAGACCTTAAAATTATCACCAAAGTATAGGGAACAAGACTGACCACGGTTATTTCTAAACTTTTACACTCTGACCAATCAGGTTTCATTCATAACAGGTCTAACGCTGTCAACCTTCGCAGGCTTTATTTAAACCTACAAATTCATACAGATAATATAAGTAAATCGTGTGATCTTATCCCTTGATGCTGCTAAGGCATTCAATACCGTAGAATGGAAGTATCTTTGGCAGGTTCTCGCCAAAATCAATTTGGGGGAAACATTTATTTCTTGGCTCAAACTATTCTATCAAGCCCCGACCACCCACATACGGGTTAATAATGCATTATTCTCACCCTATACGTTGGGAAGGGGGACTCATTAAGGGTGCTCACTTTTCGCCTTGGTGCCTGAACTACTTGCAGCAGCCATTAGGAAAGACACTGACATAGTGGGGTTAGAGAGAGGAGACCATGTGGAGAAGATGGCTTTATACACCGACGATGTACTCCTGTTTTTTGGGTGATATATAATCTATTCTGACAGGTTTAATGGCTTTGATAACTGAGTTTGGGACCTTCTCTGGCTTCTCAAAAAATTGGGACAAGTCCATTCACCTCCCAATAGACACCCTAGTACATCCTATACCTCCGGAAGCTGCACAGATTGAGATAATTGACTCTTTCAAATACTTGGGCATCATTGTACACCCTAAATTATTTACTTATATTGATTTGAATCTGTTATTGCTACTTCAGAAATTCCATAAAAGGCGGCCAGTTGGGTAAACATCCCTTATTCCCCAATTATTATACATCCTACATAATGCCCCGGTATGGATCCCTGTTCAACTCTTTAAAACCTAAAGATATGGAAGGCCTTGCGGTTCCCAACCCTCTTTATTATTAAATAGCTACAGCACTTACACCTTGGCAAGATGACACACCCAGGCCCAATTAAACCTATTCTCAGGAACACATTAACCAATGATAACCTACTGGAATGTCTGGAATCAGGAGCATTTAAAGCGTTAGCCCAATTTACCACTCTGGGCTTGCTGGATAAAATATGGTGTAAGAGTAGGGATGCCCCTGAAATTTCAGTGGCCAAAACGTTTCTGTCGAAAACACCCCTATCGGCCTTTGGCCGATATGAAAATAAGCACCGATACAGGTGCCGAAAAAAACCCCCACCCCTCGCTGCCACCCGCCCGCTGCTTCACAGTCTTACCTGAGAAACCACGGAAGCAGGCGCTGGGCATAAAGATAAGTGAAAGAAAGATGGCCTCCACTCATCTCTATGCTCTTGGGAGGACCGAAGCAACGTCACTTCCGGTTCCGACGCCTTGTAAACAAGGCCATTTTTTTTTTATAAAGCACTAGATCAATGCTTTTTTTGATCAAATGCTTTACATTGTAGAGGAGAGACGTGGGGTCTTATTAACCCCATATCTCTCCATAAAGAGGACCTGTCACTGCTTATTTCTATCACAAGGGATGCATGTATT